ACTTACCCAAGTACGACATACCTACTTGTAGGTAATACCTAATTATAAACGTGAAAGTTTGGACGTATGTTTGTTCGTCAAATACGCCGAAACGGCTGAACGATTTTTTGGTGGTGTGGTACTAATACCACAAAGTTTTACATTGTACATGTACATGTAAAACTTTCGTAGCGGGAAATGTACGGTTCCATTGGGATATTTTTATAATAATATTTGTTTAGTTAGTGGAAACTAGCCCACTGCTAAATTTACTTATATTAATTTAAATTTAAAAGAACTTTTCTCGTAGAGAATCTTTTTCGTTTAACAGAAAGAGAAAATGATACGTTGCCTTCCTTCTCATTTTGAGCATGACGTCATTGATGTGTCATTTGTTTTTTTTTTGAAGAAGAAGATTCTTCATGATATCCAGATGGATTTCTTAGTAGAAAATTTTCATTATCTTCCGTAGAACGAAAACTCTTCGTTGCTATTTGTTTCTTATTTGGAAAGTAAATGCCATTTTTCAACTAAGACAGAGTCGCGGGTAAAGCTAGTTAAGTACACAATACACATGAATGATTTGCACCTCTTAAATGTACGACTATCAGCAATTATAAGCTCTTGAAATTATCTGGATTTAATTATAATAAGTAGTTGATATACAAAGTAGGCGTGTATGTAGGTATGCGTGATGACGATTTAAGGCGGAGGAAGGCATCAATAAAAAAAAATAAAATCATTCTAATGAACAACTAAAAAGTAATAAGGTATCTATTTAACATACATGAATACATCCTCTTTTCGACAATTGTCACTGTCATAGATCTGTGTCTGATAGAGCCTCTTTCCGAATAGGTTCATGGTGGCCTAACCCAAGGATTAATCTAAACTTTTTCACATTTAGTTTAGGATGATGGTTCCATCAGCCGTCTGGACGTTGCATTGTCTCATGTGAGTAAGTAATAAATTATTTGATCAGAATGAGGCAAATCAAAGGCAGAATGTCATCAAGAAACACAAAGAAAAATTAAAAAAAAAACAATAAGAATTTTATCTATCCTTATCAAAGGAGTATTTAATTCCTCGTGTGTGCTATCGTATTATTATACCTGAACAAAGTTTTATGGGCGGCAATTACTATTTATTTGTAAGATAATGTAAACAGTCGTGTAGTTCCTCCGGTTAGCAGTAACACTGACGTGAGTGATTTTTTTTTAATTACATATTATTAATATTCAGTCCTGAAAACATTTATTTAACTGCACAAAATAAAGTGTTGATGAATTAAATTAACAAGTAGGTAGTTATTTACCAATCCTATCAATTGTTATACTAATTACTGTTATTCTTAAATTCTGTTTACCGAAAAATTTTATTTTACCTACATACTTCGTAGTGAAATTTTTACATTTACAACATAACATAACATAACATCACGCCTTTTTATCCCCGAAGGGGTAGGCAGAGGTGCACATTACGGCACTTAATGCCACTGTACAATGTAACACCCACTTTTCACCATTTATGTTACGAGTCCCATGTAATAGAAGGTGAGCCTATTGCCATATACCGGGCACATTTCCAAACTTCGTGCTACTACTGAAATTTTTAAAAACCCAGTAATATTTTGCCCGACCCAGGAATCGAACCCGAGACCCCTTGCCTGGCAGTCGCACTTGCGACCACTCGGCCAACGAGGCAGTTTTTACATTTTTCTACTCCAGTTTTCTGCAATATAAAATTCAAGCAAACTGATTACCTGTAAATTAACTTTTCAGGAAAAACCACCATGGAGAGACGTACGGTCTTACTATCGGTGTTGTTACTTATCGGCCTCGCTGGTTTGAGCGCTGCTATTGCCATCGGCGTCATCCGTAGCAGACCTGACACACCTGATCCAAGTGATAATGGTGACAAGGAGTACGATAGTGAGTTATGTCATCCACTGCTGATTGCACACCGCGGTGCCAGCGGCTACGTCCCGGAGCACACGTTAGGAGCGTACGCACTCGCAGCTTCCATGGGCTCCGACTACCTCGAACCAGACGTCGTGATGACCAAAGATGGCCACATCATCGCACGACATGATAATGAGCTTGGTCTGACTACTAATGTGGCCGACCACCCCGAGTTCGCCAGTCGCTACAGAACACAAATGGTAGACGGCAGACAAGTCAGTGGGTGGTTCACTGAAGACTTCACTCTCGCAGAAATCAAAACTCTCCGTGCAATTGAACGCATACCCGACATAAGACCTGGTAATACTCGAATGGACGGAGCCTTTGACGTCCCTACTATGCAAGAGATTATTGACTTGACCAAAGGTCTAGAAATCAGTTTAAAACGACCTATCGGTATATATCCTGAAATTAAACATTCCACTCATTTCCAACGCCTGGGGCTGGCGATGGAAAGACCTTTGGTAGATTTGCTGCACAGGAATGGTTATACCCGACCTGAATCACTTATTTACATTCAATCTTTCGAAGTCAGCAATTTGAAGGAACTGAAAAGTATGACAGACCTGCGCTTGATTCAACTCTTTGCAGGTAACTCTGCTCTACCTCCGTTTGATCAAGCGGTGCAAGAGACAGGTCTCACGTACGCTCAGATGGCTACTCCTGACGGGTTACGGGAGATTGCTACTTACGCTTATGCGGTTGGACCTGACAAGGGATATATTATTCCCCGCAATGCGAATCAGACACTGGGTACACCAACAAGTTTTGTGAAGGATGCTCATGCAGCTGGTCTCAAAGTGCATCCGTACACGTTCCGATCAGAAAACGTATACCTACCAGCTGAGTTCCGGAGTGCAGATCCGTCACAGGCCGCTCTCGGAGACGCAGCTGGCGAGTATCGAGCGTTCCTTGCTACAGGAATAGATGGATTGTTCACAGATCATCCTGACGATTTTGCCAACGTACGAGGTAGTTGTGCTTGACTACATTCAACTGTTAGTAGATATAATTCATAAAGAAAATGATGGGAACCTCAAAAGCCAGATGACAGATAAAATCTTCAATAAGAATGATCGGCAACGATAGAAGATAGAAGAATAACAATTTATAATCTTGTATTGCCCTTCACTGCATACTTTTCTATGTGTCTACCCACTTTATATACCACAATACTTAGTACCGTGGGATGGTTAGTGTGATATTTATCACGAAATAAATAGGCATTTTTTCTCAACTTAAGCCACATGTTATATACCTCTAGTTACAACAATATTTTGTTAATTTATTCTAGTCGAATTAGAATAGGTGTGTTATTTTATCTTATTAAGAAAATAATAAAATATTATATCTAAGCACTTAATTCCTTTAATCTCCTTAAATCCGCTTGGAAATAGACAACATATCAAATACAATATCAGTCACAGGAAACACACTGTGGCATGATCATGAAATTCAAATTAATTAGTTGTCAACTTCTGTTGTAGGTGTCGCATTATATAATTCTACAATTAGTATCCTTTCCTCTATTACAATAAGAGGTGCACTGGTTTTTAACCTTCAGTTTCAGTAGTAATAATTCTTATCTACCCAATGAACATATTTTAAATTGCATCACAGTCTTATGCAGCATTTTTTTACCCCTGCAAATGCTAGACAGATTACAAGGTGTCTTAAGCAGATCTTGATTCCTTTATGCAATCCGAATTAGCATGAACAGTACACGCCTACATTCTATTACGTATTCACATATATCTACAAGGTTTTAAGATAAAACCACAGACATGATCGTCACGCGACTGATCGTGAAAATGAGCTCACGACGTTTAAATATTATGATTGACGGTTGCGATAAAAAATATTTATTACTAATAACACCATCTTAAATTTATGAGTATTTACGTGTTGTATTGTCACAAGTAAGACGAATATTGCTAAGTATGAGACTGCAAAGCAAGTGACTACTAGGAACTGACTATGCGTGCACTGCAAAATCATCCAATGACTTCTCCCGCCTTGGGTGAGGCGAGAGGGAGTGTCAGACTAATACTGGTTAAAAACCACCCGGTTCCTACTCTTACTTTGAACCGAAACCCCGGTACACCGTCAGGTTGTCCGCAGCTCCGGATATTTTCAACGTCTATAGAAACGATCATTATCATGTTACCATACACATGTTATCATCTTACCTTTATCTCAAGTTACTTGGAAGTGCGGTCATCTTCTTCTTGTGATCCCTATCACATGCCAACCTACAAACCTCTTTTTCGTTTATATGGTTACTCAATCTATACCCATATTTTCTATGAATGTACTCTTTCTTTCTAACCATCCACAATTAAAATCATCATCTGTTTTTAAGCGTGATGTCGGGAGTAATAATGCTCTTATAATATATTCCTCTGAAGAATTTTAAAATATTTACTATGGTTCTTAAATTTTTTTCTGATTATAATTCAAGAAGATACTTATTTGTCTAGAATATTACATACATAGCGATGTCGTATATCCAAATGAAATACAGAATAGGCTGGTCGCCCTATTGCTATATCTCTGAAAACGATATGATATGAATGTTTCTCAATTTTATCTCAAGTGTGGGGTACACTCGTTCAAAGTACAGTCATTATAAAAAATGCATTAGATATGGTGATTATTGTGATTGAGTACGAATGTAAAAATTAAAGAGAATTCATAAGTAGGCCACTTGAATAGTAAATGATGCTGTAAATAGACTTTTAAAATACAAAGAAACACTTATCACCAAAAACAAATAGAAAATATCAACGCCACAATTTGTAATAAATATGCAAAATACGTAGGTACCTAAATAATCAGCCGCGATGTCCAATTTCAAGAGAGAACAAATTACGTCATCGGAGTCATAAAAGTAATAAGTTATTGTTTTATACGTTCAACCCAATTGCAGACTTAAATAAGCGGAGATACGTCTGAAAATGGAAAATGTTATCGTATTGTATTTACTTAACTACGTATATGTACCTACCTAATAGTGGGGGTTAAACCTTTATATACTTTTATTTGCTTTGTTATAAAAAGAAACATTGTGTGGTACAGAATGTCTTGATCTAGTGAGCATCTGATTAAAATTTGGCTTTTAAACAATCGTGTTGTAACCATTTTACATCATTAACCAGTTACTTATATCAAGTTTATAACGAACACTCGTAAGGTTCGCAGGTCTCCAAATGTTCTGCAAGACTTCCTCTTACATTTTCCTCATGTATGTTAGTTGATGTCGTCGCGAGGCTCTATATAAATATTCGTTTAGTTGAAGTGATGTTTTAGTGCCTGCCTGTACATACTTTGTGTTGTCGCCACTTGTCACCAAGTCCAACTATCTGCGAATGTATCGTAGATGTTGAGGAGTTACAAAACTGACTTTCATGTGAGTATTACATTTTGTTTATGTAATTTTATTATTAAAGAATTAAATATTTTTAATGTATTGATTAGATTTTCATATTTCATAGAGTGTTTATAATGTGAATTACTTTTAAATTACGAATCAAATCATGTAATAATTACTGAGTATCATCGTAAGTGTCTAGGAAGACAAGATAGTAAAACCAGTTTGTTCATTGTTGTCAATCAAGTGCCTATTTATGATAGATAATTTCTTGTTGAAGTAACAAAAAGTGGCTTTCTAACTTTGTTTAGTTATTTTTAATATATGTAGGTGTATAAGTTTAGGGAGTGTCATTGAACTCATGATTATTCACTCTATCGTATTTTGATGTTCTACCAGTTAATAAATTAATAATTATAATACTTAGGTACATAACATTATGTACTTGAATAATAATTATCTTTAAATCGCCTTGTTTACAGAAAAATGTTCCTGAATCGAAGAATATGGATTGTGTTGTGTACATTGGGAGTCGCGTTTGGGGTACCAACTGAAATAGTAGAATCACCAGACAGTGTTAATTCCACGTTAGAATATGACAGCCAATTTTGTCACCCACTGGTAATAGGCCACCGCGGTGCCAGTGGGTACGCTCCAGAACACACCCTCGGCTCATACGCCCTCGCGGCTCTCATGGGAGCTGACTACGTAGAACCAGATCTAGTCATTACCAAAGATAGGCGACTAGTCGCTAGACATGACAATGAATTAGGTTTAACCACTGATGTGTCCTTACATCCAGAGTTCGCTGATCGTTACACCAATAAAACAATAGATGGCAAACAAATGAGCGGTTGGTTTACTGAAGATTTCACTCTTGCAGAATTAAAAACGTTACGTGCCGTAGAGCGCATTCCAAATATCAGACCAGGAAACTCGCGAATGGATGGCGCCTTCCAGATACCAACATTTCAAGAAATTATTGAACTAATCAAAGGCTTAGAATCCAGTCAAAATAGAATTATTGGACTTTACCCAGAAATTAAACACAGCACGTATTTCGAGTCTCTCGGATTACCAATGGAACAGTTAGTAGTGGATATCCTTCACAGCTACGGTTACCAAGGATCTCACGCGCCGGTCTACATCCAGTCATTTGAAATAAATAATTTAAAACGACTGAAGCGAATGACTGGTATTCGTCTTCTACAGCTATACGATAGTCCAGACATGACGCCTTTCGACCAGATAGAAAAAGAGAACGCACCAACGTACGCTGATATGGCTACACCAGAGGGACTTGCAGAAGTTGCGAAGTACGCTTATGCGGTAGGACCAGATAAGAGCTACATAATACCTCGTGACGCAGAAAATAATCTGGGGGAACCTACAACTTTTGTTCACGATGCTCACGAGGCGGGCTTGAAAGTGCACCCATATACGTTCCGTGCAGAGAATGCGTTCTTACCAACAGATTGTCGTAACAAAATGTACCCAAACTTGTCATCAGCTCTGGGTAATTTAGCCGCTGAGATCACGGCTTATTTCAATGCAGGAATCGATGGTCTCTTCAGTGACCAGCCGGATATACCCGTGCGAATACGAACCGGTTGTTTGAGAAATATTAATTGAATGACTTATTAGATTAAGTAGTTGCATGTACGTACAAATAGCTTTCAGTTCCTGTTTGCATAATCAACTTTGTATGTAATTTAACCAAAGTGCCTAAGTACAAGACTTTGCTTTTAAATAGGAATTCGAAAAGGTTGGCTCATGAGGGAGAAAATTGGTAATAACTTTTATTCCTGTATATCACATTTACTGTCAATAATAGAACATGTGTGGTATTCGAAGATATCATAAAAGTACCAATAAACCTATGCATATCGCATTGACACAGATTCTAAGAAAAACATTCTTCTTGATTGTTTTTGTTAGTTGAGGTTACAATACGACTTTTTTGCTGCCTCTGCGACATAGGGATAGATACAAAGGTGCATTATGTGATCATCATACTTAATACCTTTAGGATTTGCACTTTGTGAAGTGGATGGTTAATAAAACCTAGGTGACTAGGCAGTCAGTTAATCACTGGCGACCTACAATAAGTACAAACTACCATAAGTTAAGCTAACTTTTGAACAAGAAAAAGAAAAACAAAACTCAAATTCCCGTTGACTAATCTTACTTTACAAGAAACGTACATTTTGTACTTCCGTTGTAAACAAGAACGGTCAACAGGTAAAACCGCAAATATTATTATCCGTATTATTTTCCTACCTATATTAATTAGATTACCAGTTACTTTATTAATTTAATTAACTAATGAAATGATAGGAAATAAGTTTAGGTATACCAATATCGATGTTTTTGTATGTTAATTACATAATATTTACAAGGTATTGTTTTTATTGAACTTATTATTTCCTTAAACGAACGAACGAAAGAAGAATATTTTTTTCTGCATATAAATATAAGCAACACAACACAACATCACGCCTTTTATCTCCGAAGGGGTAGGCAGAGGCGCACATTATACCACTGTACAATGTAACACTCACTTTCCACTATTTACGTTATGAGTCCCATGTAATAGGGGGTGAGCCTATTGCCATATACCGGACAATTCCAGACTCCGTGCTACTACTGAGAATTTAATGAAGAAAAATCCCAGTAATACTTTGCCCGACCCGGGAATCGAACCCGAGACCCCTTGCCCGGCAGTCGCACTTACGACCACTCGGCCAACGAGGCAGTCAGGAAATATAATTATAATCAGGAATTAATCACATTACCTACTTGGATACTGATATGTAATAAATAGTCGTTTATTTGCAAAAACAGAGGTACCTCTTATAAAATGTGATTGGAGCCTCCTATAAAACAAGATATGCCTGTGGTGGGGAATACGTACTGGACTGTCACATCACATCCGTTAACTTTTTAGGGAACATAATTATCGAATGAATCATGCCGCCAAACGTGAGACGGGGAAGAACCTAACGGGTAACCGGGGCTCCGGCTCGACGTGCAGGAGAAGGAACAGGGTGGTTTTTAGTCAGTAAAAGTCTGACACTCCCTCCCGCCTCACCCAGGCGGGAGCAGTCATTCGATGATTTTCACCCATTAAAAAAAAAGGGCGACGAGAGAGCACTCATACTGACTACAAACCAACGCGTTAGTAGGAGAAGCCTACTTCGAGTCGATACAGATTGCCCTTTTCCACAGTCAGACGATTGTTTTTAAGTAATCTTACATTATAATTTCCTCTTGAATTGTGAGCTCGTTTACAAACATATAATTTCACATACACGTCACACCCAGATCGGGAGCAATAATTTGTGGAACAGGCAAAGTATTTTTTGTGAGTGAAAATCATCCGATGATTCCTCCCGTTCTGGGTGAAATGAGAGGGAGTGTCAGACTCTCACTGACTAAAACCACCCCGTTCTAAGCTCGCCTCTAACCGGCACCCTAGTAACCCTTACGCTTCTTCGCAATTGCAACCCCGAGAACCTAACGGGTAACCGGGGCTCCGGCTCGACGTGCAGGAGAAGGAACGGTGTGGTTTTTAGTCAGTAAGAGTCTGACACTCCCTTCCGCCTCACCCAGGCGGGAGCAGTCATTCGATGATTTTCCCCCCTTAAAAAAAACCCCCGGAGTAGACAATAGTCTAACTCGAAATTATTTTTTTGATTAATACTAGAGTACATGGATAACGACAAAATTCCGTCGATAAATGAAAATACATAGGTAGTTATAAATTACTTCAATTCAACGGCATTAAGTCCGCCATTGTATGATTTATACGTATAAAAGTGTTGATTATAAATGAATAAAACAATTTCATTGAAATGTCACAAATATGAATTTTTTATGAAAATGAAATAAGTTAATAACCAAGGACGTTGAAAAAAGGCGGACATAGCCTTTAAAAACATCGACTGTGGCACCTGGCCATTATAGACGGAGAATAATATACCATCGATATTTAGGTGCTTCAATAATTTCTAAGCAGCACTACGTCCGCTTTTATGAATGTCCTTGTTATTAACATTATAGTCCTCTTTTACTGATTTCGGAAACCGTGACTCCTTTTATTAACTATCTCTTCACTCGTGTCGTGTGTCCTGATGTGACTGGCCAAGAGGGCACCTCAGACCGAATTAATTTTAAAAACCTGATCACAACTAAGAGGTTAAACTAACCGGACATAGAGTTGTATTGTTTTACCAAATGGCATACTCATTTCTCAAAATGTTGGAAAAATTATATATTTCGGTAAATAAGATCATGAATAAAGTCGAGCAGTCAAATGTCGTTATGTTACGAAATCCGATTGATTTTTGTCGTTATCACAGTCAATACTCTGGCCTCTATACTCTATGGCATAGACCTTGGACGCGTTTACAACCATTTGATTTGATATTAAAATTTTGTCTGTGTTTCGGACATCTCTATTTACAAAAGCTGGCAGTCAGCTGAATGTGACGCTGTCAGCTGTCAATATCAAAAGGGCTATGAATTTGACATCTGTTTAATTACTTCAATTTTTCAGTGAAAAAGCACGTACAGAACATAAATACTAATATAAAATTAGCAATGTAAACAGAAAAATATTATAGTAAACTCAGAAATGATAAGGCAATATCTGAAATTGAGAAAGACATTTACAGTCTTTGGCATACTTTTTTTTCGTAAGTACAGCACAATCTGTTTATAAGTTTACACGGACACTCGCCGCTCGTTTAAAATTGTTCTCTTTCGTATTGTTTTGTTTGCAATGGCTTACTTGAATGTTTTACACGCACAGGCCTATTATAAATCAAGGTCTTGAGAAGGCTATGAAATTAATGTAGGACTACTGAACATTCTTTCTTGGTCGCGTCGTAATTTTTTCACTCGTCACTTCGTCAGTGATCGATGGCGAGTCAAAGAGGCCATCAACAATATTTTGCTTAACAATGCCGTTTTCTGTTTATTATGGTAAATATGAAAAACTATCATGAGACAATACATTATGACTCAACAGTTATAATGCTAATTTTTAGTCTAGTTTTCATCTTATTGGACTTGCTGGCTATTAAATCATTATATTCTACCTATTTGTTGAGTTAATATTCAGCAGAAAATTTTCCATAGCTTCATTCACTAATTTAACAATTCATTAAATTTTGTACAAAATAAAACTAGCTATATTTTTAACCATTTTTAACATGTATTTTCATTTTGTAGTGCTCCTTTTATTTTTGATATTTTCAAAAGAAAACAGTGGAGTGAACCAAAGAAGCTTCGATGACAATATCCCAAAAATAAATGTACAATTTAATGATCTGCCAAAGGCTGAAAAATTTACAAAACTAAATATAATGGAGGAGAAAATAGTGGACAGTAACAGCGAGGACACAAAGCGTGAGCTAAAGGAAGCGCGGTCAAGAATAGACCAGTTAGAAAAAAAAATTGCTATTTTAGAGGGCAGAGTGCCGCAGAAGTACCCAGATGTCAAATTTCTGGGCTATAAGGAAAGAAAGAGAATATTGGTAAGATATCTATTACTTTCTTTTAAAAACAATTTTATTATTCTTCATATTAAAATGTTCTTTAAATGGCTGGAAGTTCTCCTGCTGAACATATTTAAAGTTTAATCGCCGAAATTAACAATATAATTTTTAAACAAACAATCCAATTCTAAAAAATACAATTCTGTCTATACATAGATAAAAAGACCTTAGTAACTGTAAAATATTTCTTAGTAATACTTAGCTAATGTTTGTTTAAGAAAATAAACAACCTTATTTTTTATCTGCTGCTGATAATAAAAAACATTAGGTACTTAACTAGTTTATAAACATTTTACTAAACCAGTAGCCCTTGTCTTTATTCATCAATGTCACTGTAGTGTAGGTACTTTATTTATCTTAGAATAACTAATGCCGTGTCATCCATGTAAAAAGTTTAGAAGCAGGTATTGATAATGTTTCTAAAGTATCTATAATTTAAATAGACTAAAAGTATTCTGTAAAGTATTTTAAAGAAAACTATTATAGATAAAATAATTATGTGAACGGAATATCATTTATAATTATTTTCAATCATGTTAAGATTTCGAGATTTCACCTGTACAATTGTACCAAAATGTAGTCAAATAACATAAGAACACAAACAACCTAGAGAAGATAATGTTGATTATCTCGATTATCTACTAATACAAGAGCAATAATTACTAATCGTTTCTTATGTCCCAAAATAAGATTTTCTCAGTAATTTCAAAATATGGACATTTTATACAAATTACAGCTAAACTCAGAACTACTAAGTACTTTTACATTTTATAAATATTTGTGTAAATTTATACTCAGCAGCTTGTGTCCCGGCCACTGTGCTAACTGTCTGTTGAATGTTGAATAATTTATTTATATATCATATTTTTAGCCGTGGTCCTCCCACTGCAGGGCAAAAGCCTTTGTTGAATAATACATTATTTTATTTTTTGACATTATATTTCAGGTAACCGGTGGAGCAGGATTTGTTGGCTCTCACTTGGTAGATGTACTTATGACACAAGGTCATGAAGTAATTGTAGTAGACAATTTCTTTACGGGACGTAAACGCAATGTAGAACATTGGTTCGGTCACCGTAACTTTGAAATGATTCACCATGATATAGTTAATCCACTTTATGTAGAGGTAATTTGTTGTTATCATTTGGTGAATAAGTGGATTTTATGATTATTATTGCTCTAATATGTTCTGCTTTTGTAGGCAGATGAAATATACCACTTAGCTAGTCCTGCAAGTCCGCCTCATTACATGCAAAATCCAGTTAAGACAATTAAGACTAATACTTTAGGAACAATCAATATGTTAGGTGAGTATGTTTAAATTATAAAATACCAACAGAATCTTTTTAACCCTAAGAGTGCCCAGTCAGTAACCAGTGCCTAATGTTAGTAGAGGTTTGACTATCACTATTTTAAACTTGGCAGTTAAATTGTTAAACATTTTGTTATTTTATAAATGCAAATGCATTGTTTTACTTTTATCAAAAAGGGCTTGCTCTTATCTTGTCCTTGTTAGTTACATCCTACTACAGTGTAGTGAATATTGTTCAACTAAAATGAGATAAACTGTTATAATATGGTCTTAACAAGCTTTTTGATTTTGAGTATAAAAATATCATTCATGGAAAAATATTAATGATAAAGAAATCTAATAATGTCAATAGAATCATTGGTATTTTTGAATTCTAGGTTTAGCACGACGAGTTGGAGCTAAGATACTGATAGCAAGCACATCTGAAGTCTATGGTGACCCCATGGTGCACCCCCAGCCTGAATCTTATTGGGGTCATGTGAATCCTATAGGTCAGTATGACACATGCTTATTGCGTGATCTATATTCTCATATGTACAGTTTCATCAATAGTTTTGCAGTTATTGAGCAACATATTAAACTTTCACATTTATTATGTTAGTAGGATGTGATTTTATTAATTTTACCGGCGATGTAAAACGAAATACCGTTTGTTTAAACAAAATAACTTATAGCGGGTCAGTACTACGTTATTCTATTATGATCGTTCATACCTCGTAATACAGCTTGTTTTACATAATACCCAATGATTCTTGGTGATGAATGAACCTTTTCGAAGTACTTGAACAAATTAGAAGTGTACTTGTGAATCATCTAATTTTTATTTTAAACTTAATACTATTTTTAATACATCTAATAGACAGAATTGTTAATATATATTTTATTACGGATGACTTTACTCTGAATATGAACCAAAACTAACTAGAATTAAAAAAATAATGATGATTAAATAGCTCTATTTTTTAAATTTCTTTATTTAAAAACATACCTAATACACTTGGTAGCAAAGAAACTGAACCACTAGCGTTTTTTCTTTTTCATTTCTTGATAAATATTTTCTACAAATATTTTACTAATTGCATGGTAACATATGTTGTATAAAAGGCAATCAAAATGAGAGCATTTTGTTGTAAAATTTTTTTTAAGTTATAGTTGTTCTGTTTCTTTGCTCGCAAGTGTATATTTTTATTATATTATACATATACTTAATAATACAGACATTAGAATTTATTAACCTACCACAGGTGTGCACATAATTGTGACAATGACCTCACTGTGTAAATGGTACAATTCTGTGACCTTTTCTAGAATTGAACAGATTATGTTGGTTCTTCAAATAATTATGTTAATGAGTTACTCGAATATATTATTTATTACGTATATTTGCAGACATCTGTTAAGACCTACTTTGTCAAAAGATTTACCTCTATTTTTCTCCTATTTTTATTATTATGGTAATATTCTATCACATTGTATACATAGGTCACACCTATCTCTGTCCCAAATTCTATCAAAACCTGTTCAGCAGTTTAGGTGTTGTTCGTGACAAACACTTTTATATTAAGTATCTAGTTACGATTCCGGTTTTACCGCGATTCTGTAAGTAGGACTTAAATTCGTTGTAACATACTTTGTAAGTTTGAATAATCATGAGCTAGGATGATAAATTCATTCAGAATTTTGAAACAAATAGGTGCTGCATGAAAAAGAAAGATACATAATTAAAATACCCAAGTATACGATACTCATGTTTAAAAACTATTTGAATATTTGTAAGATAGATAAAATAAAATAGGTAAGACCCTATTGACTGCGCATAGATAATAAAATTTAAATAACTTCCAGAGACGTGCTGGTTATGTAATCTTTTATACTTGTTAGTTGCTCAAGAAAACATAATATAATAGCAAGCAGGACAGAATTTCCGCCTCCATACCTATTTTATAAACATGTTTTTCATTGGCCGTATAATAAATCAGTCTCATTGATTTAACCAGAGATCGGGCAGCAGCGCTCTTTGATGAATATGAGCTTTTAAAACTGCGATCCCTAACCCGCCAGCTTAACTATAGCAAACACCTTTTTTGTGGAGGAAGCCATAGTCCAGTCTGACGGGCTGTTATTAGGTGGATCACAAAATTGTTCAATCGGGCATTTATTAAAGATAATATTTGTAACATTTCAGGTCCCCGAGCCTGTTACGATGAGGGCAAGAGAGTTGCGGAGACGTTAGCGTATTCGTACGCAAAACAAGAGAAGGTATCAGTTAGAGTGGCGCGCATATTCAATACGTATGGACCTCGGATGCACGTGTCTGACGGACGCGTCGTGTCCAACTTTATTATGCAGGCGCTGCAGAATTTAACTATTACTGTAAGTAATTTTGATATTAAATTATCAGAAATTTATTGAAGGCAAATCTACAGCTAACAACGATCACAGATATATGAGAGACCTCTTTTTAAAATGTGTCCCCACACTATAATTTTCGCATGTACGTTTCCATTCGTTCACATGCATAATACACCCAAAAGCGGTACAAGATACAACCATTTGTCGATCACACAAAGAGTCGTTCAAGACCAGAATCGTACACAATAAGATGTAAACAGACCCACGCCACGGGAGAACTAACATTGAATATTATCATTATTATTAGATAGTTGATAAGTACTAAATTATTAATGCTTATAAACATTGCAGGTATACGGCAACGGGCAGCAGACCCGTTCATTCTGCTACGTATCAGATCTCGTCGATGGACTGCTGGCTCTGATGGCGTCCAGCTACACGTTACCTGTCAACCTCGGGAATCCCGTGGAAAATACTATACAAGGTACAGTAATATGAGTATTAATGGTTTTTTATATTCTAAAATTTTACTTTAAAGTTCCAAAGGACTCGTATACACAATAAGTACATAGTATGGAGTAAAATTGTCGTTCCTACCGACCTAGTCCATTCACACATGCATTAGAAAAGAGAGGTTGATAGAAGTAGAAGTGCAACACATTTATTTTTTGAAATGAATTAAATCTATTTTCATATATAATTATTTCAATATAAAACGTTGTATATATATACTTAGATTATTTTGATAATTATTAGGTAGGTAAGTATTAAACAACATTAGATTGTTAAATGATGTAGATTTCACCTATACTATACCTAACTTTAATTAGGTACAATTCAAAAAAAAAATGATGTATCAACAAAATTCTTCCATACGAATCACATGAATTATATACAATACAGGCAACAAAAATAATTATTTTTATTGCCTGTATTTTCATTCATTCATTTAATATTCTAATATGTATAAATAGGTAAGTACATTATGTAGTATTATGAAAAAAGTTACAGGTACTGCAGGTACTGCTTCGTTAAGGCTTTTGAAATGTTGAAAATTGTAGAACGTTTTTCTCGTAAAATGCAATTGTAAAAAACAAAGTGTTTTTTGGCCACAATTTTTGTACAAAATTGTCAATTTTCACTCCCAGAAAACTTGAGATAATTCCCATATTTCCGCCTTAATGATCAAACTATGCCATAAAACCACGATTGCCACGAACATTAACATTACTTATAACATGGACACAATAAGTCTAAATAACCAACCTACCTGAAACTACAAATTATTACAAAGTGTAGGTACCCTAAAAATAAGCTTTTTTTGCTTCGGTCTAATGCTATTGTGATTATTAATTCGATTTCGTCATCATAAAGATATAAATTCATCCCCGAAGGGATGGGGAGAGGTGCACATTACAGCACTTAATGCCACTGTACAATGTAACACCCACTTTTCACTATTTATTTATGTATGAGTCCCGTGTAATAGGGGATGAACCTATTGCCATATACCAGGCGGCACAATTCCGGACTCCGTGCTGACTGAGATTTCTATTTAAAACTTAGTAATAGTTTGCCCGATCCGAGAATCGGACCCGAGACCCCTTGCCCGGCACTCGGTCAACGAGGCAATCAATTGATATGACTAATCAATTCGTGGGGTGCGATTTGGCGGGAATTATTTCTTTTCATTTAACAACTTATCGTTTTTTTCCAATTCATTGAACTTTACTGTCGTAAAAGGTGTAAAAGTTACACGGTATACGATAACGCTTATCGCTACCTACTTTGTTTATCGCCGGTTACCTACTGCAGCTTCTACTTCCTTATAGTTAGTAATGCATGTACCTAATACTGCAATTATTTCTTTATAACTGCTATGGGAGACTTTTTTTATCTACTGAATTTGTATTTATTACTCCGAGGGGTAGACAGGTGCACATAATTAGGTATGCACTCGCTTATTTCGAATGTTATGATATGAATTCTATGTAGAGGGCGAATCTATCGCGAGATAATGGTCAAACGTCAGTCCCACCCAATATAAAAAAAACACTGGATGCTACACTAGGTGCAATACAAGACTCCCTACCCTACTATGCTAGTAAAAACTGATAATATGTTTAACTCGTCGAGTACCGGTTTTGCAGACACAATTATAGAACAATCTAATACCAAGCGGTCACCGGTGACCGCTTGGTATTTGACAATTTAATAGAAAAACTAATCTTGAAGGAGATTAAAGCCACGAACTCTTTATTGTCGCGCTTGCAAATGATCGAAACAAATAATACAAAAAAATTGCTCCAAGATCTTGCATTTTTCTGCCTGTATCTATCTTCTATTCATTTACGAAATATGCTTCTCTTTCAGAATTCGCAATGATAATCAAGAATCAAGTGCCAGGCTGCCGGAGTATGGTGGCGAAGAGTGCGCCCGTGGAGGACGACCCGCAGCGACGCCGGCCCGACATCACTGTCGCTAAGCAACATTTACATTGGGAACCTAAAGTGAGTCAACCATCATTTGTTATTTTTTAAGTACTTCTATCCCAAAAACCTTTGCCCTACAGAGGGCCCATCATGACTGAAAATAAATAATTAATATTGGCAAAAACTACAAATTAGCTACTTATAGATAATCACAGCAATTTTTGTAGATTTACCTTTTAAGAACCATAATTTTCTTGGATAAACCACAATTTCAATATTAATGAAACAAGATTTATTGCTATGCTTTTCTAGTCATACCATATTTGTTTTGGACCATTTTCTCAATACCCATTGTATTTTAATTGTCTTTATTCTAGGTGTCATTACAAGATGGCCTGCAGAGAACCATAGATTATTTCAAGGAAGAGTTGTCAAGAACAACATTCTACAACAATCAGACCTACATGAACATGAAAAGTCATAATTAATTAAGTTACTAAATCTGTTTATATGTGATATTTGGGTGCCTGTGTGCAGGAGTGTGTGAATAACAATAAGTATTCGTAAAACTAATTATTCTCACTTTTTGTTGTTTATCACACAACAATTACATGGTTACATGGTTACCCTTAAATGACAAAAATGTGTTGTATAAGTTTAATTTATATTCATTTGTTTAGTTAAAATAAAAATGCACATCTAGTAATGTTTACAAAAGTTTTATTTTCATTGGAAAAAGGTCATGCTCATTAAAAATAATTACTTAAAGTAATTATACTTTACAGTGATTTACATAAAAAGATGTCTTTAAAGGAAACAGGTCCAAGATTAATATCTACACACATTCTATATATTTTCTACAATATGACTAACATTCCACAACAAACAAATACTGTATAATATAATTTGATCACTATCGAGCCTTAAATAATGACTGACTTGACAAAATGAACTATAGAGCCAATTCTACAGTTATCTAGCACTCTAGCAGATTCTACAACACTTAGTTACACTACTTACAGCACATGCTCGGTAGCACATCCCATTTATAAAGATAAGATTTCCTTAATATAGTTTCAGTCTTGCAAAGTTTCTGTCCGTGTGAATGTACCAATGTTTTGTACAGTTGGAACATGTCCGCAGGTGCCTGTTTGTGTCGAACTAACATTTGTGTGGAGCAGCCTCTTGTTTTCCATTCCGTGTCAAATCTGACGTCATGGACTCTGTTCATACCATCTAAAGAGGCTGTCCACACTCCCATGGAAACATCCTCGGAATTATAATGTCTATAACAAAAAAGTTGAATAAGTTCCAACAGTTATTATGAAGTAATTATTTTGTATATAACACAATCCAATTCCCAGTATATTCTTTCAAACAGTTTTAGTTCCGACTATAACAACAATCACAGACAATCAAAAAGATCTATTAATTGATTGAACTGAGTCAGTCAAGTGTCAATTACTCGCACAATACATGCATCAATTGATTTTAATTTAGGTCTATTAAATGTAGGTAAAAGCTCACCCTAATATATCAGCATTCCTTCCAACGAAGTCTACAATACTACGAGATATGACATAGCCACCACCTAATGCGTAAGGTAGGTAGTTGTCACACAGGAACCAATCCTTCTCTTGCCATTTCCCATTCAAATAAACTCGTGCTCGGCCATCGAAATATCCCCAATACAAGCCTTTGTATGAAGGTAGATCTTTCTGAAATTATGTCAACAATTTTTGTTATTTTTTCTATGGAATAAAGGTTGTTTTAGCATGATTTTCAAACTTATAGCGATATGAAATTTTGGTGAGTGTTTAGTTTGTCAATATAATTATCGTAAGCAAATTAAATGAGCTAGAAGTGTTTTACAACACCATAGTAAACATAAAACGATTTTGTTACTGATGATCAAATATTGTGTACCTTATAAGTAACATATTCACTTATTTCATGAGCATTCATCTCGGGTGCATAAGCTTCTAGATCTTTTATTATCAAATCAACTCTTACAAAGGAGTCATCATCACACTTTATTAAATATTTTAATCCACTTAAATTAGTAGTCAGCCACTTTAAAGAATGTAACATTTTTATAGCTAGGTTCTTATAACTATCTTCAAAGCTGTCTAATAATAAGAGGTCATTGCTTCTGTTATTTTCAGTATGTAACTTTGTCAGCTTCGTTTCACTCAAACCTTGAGTGCCAATTACGAAGTAGAACTTAATGAATTCATGTGGCACATGATGCTCAGTCCATGTATGGTTCCACTTGTATAATTTCTCTCCATTCTCCACAAATATATTATTCGAGAACTTCATCCAAGTGGCTCTTATAGCATCTCTCTTGGCTTCATTGTTAGGTCCACTTAAAACTAGTACTGCATATTCAATTTTACCTAAACCATACTTAGTATCGCGCAAATCTTTGGCAGTGTGAGCATCAGCACATTCAAGGCGCAGAGAGTTTAGTGTTATTCCACAACCAAGGTAGAAAAAGAATATACTAGCGAGTATCATACTTTTGTATCTTAGTAACAATGACACGTACATTTTCTGAACACAATCTTTACAATTTAATTCTTCGTTTTGATTCAACGCACGATGATATTATTTCATAAATGCCTATGCCTACATGTTCTCAAAGATAATTCATCACTACTATGACTCCTATGACTCATTTGTTTGACCAGACACTCCTAGAACAACGGCCGCTCTATTTATATGTATAGACTACATTTACACTTTATTTATTTAACCAACATCTTATTACACAGAAACAAACACTTTCGACTTTTCGAGTTTCGTTTTGGTTTTGAAGAATTTGAAGTACAATACAATAATGTCAAGACTGAAGTCTGTCAATGTCAAACCAAAGTATTCAACTTCATGCTGAACTAATAAAGCTTAGAAATCACTCGCGACATAGACCCAGAAACCAACAATCTAAAGTTGCTAACTGCACAAAAATATGCACAACAACTGGACTCCGGACTGCAGACGTAACTTGACACTTGACTAAGCGAATTTATTATGATTATTTTAAATTACTATTTACTTCCATGTCTACCCTTTTGCAACGAATAAAAGTTCTTTCCAAAATTATGGAATATTTAAAAATGTGTAGTCATATAGTTGCACGAAAGTACACTTTTTTATCATGATGCAAAATAATTATTTTTGTCTAAAATCAATGGAGATCTAAACATGTATACTACTCTTATAACATGATCATACTCTATAGAATATCAGTACAGCTTTTAGTTTGACAACCGTTACATTATGTCACTGTCAACTTCTATATTTGCTGTCATGTGTACGTCAGATAAAATTGACGTTACGTGCGTGGTTCATTCATTCACATATTTTTATCAGTAAAAAATTAGCGGTGGACGTGTACGGTGCGGTTTTTGAAATGACACAATAATAAAATTGTACGTGCCATATTCAAAAGTGAATTGGTTGAATATAGTTGTTTTTAGTTATTTACTTACATGAATATCTGCACAGCATTGCTGTAATACTTATTAAAACCAGTGATTTACAATTCGTATGTATATCGACAGGTTTTAAGAAGATATTACATATTGTGTGGGTATAAAACAAATAATAAGTAGGTAGTGCACATTTTCAATTAGCTGTGTAACCGTGTCGGAGTGTAGTTGTGTGCCGGTGCAGTGCACAGGTCATGCGTGTGCTCGTCTCGTAAGGTTACAAAACCATACCGGCTGTCTAAGACCGCTACGGTGAGTGTTTATACTATTTATAGCTTCCCATGAACCACTTCTTGTTAAAAACTTGTGTTACAGTACTAAAGCAACCCTATATCATTTTATTTCGTTTTCCAAGATTTTATTTCTGTTATTGTTTAGTTATTTACGTAACATAACACTTCAATATTTATAATAATTATAAATAATACCAACATTCCTTTCCGTAAAAATTCTTTACATTTATTTAGAACTAATTTTATTCTGATTTTTTCAGGTAATTCCTCAATCATGGAGGCATTAGATAAAAAAAGTCGTCCAGCACACCCTAGGGCTAAGGCAAACCCATTGTCTGCCCTAACATTCGCGTAAGTTAATATTTATCATAACATGTATTACCTTCTGTATGTAGTTCTTAATATTTAAAACAAAATTCGTTATTATGTTTATCTAGTACCTACCAATGAAAAAAAAAATACTATTCACAAAATTACCACATGGAACTGAAGTCAAGAAAGAGATCTTTTGCTTAGTTATAAAAAAAACTGAGCCCTTTACACAAAATCAGGGCCATCTGCAATTCTATTGTGTTTGAAAAAGTTGCTGAGGCCTTTAACTATACCTTAGGTTTTTTAACCTTAATCACAAGCTATAAGTTTTAAAAAACCATTGCTCATACAGTGACTAAGTTGCCAGATAGGTAATAATGTAAAACAGTCATTACAATAATTTAACATTAAATATTTAGATGAGTTTTTATACATAACTAATCTAATTTTGAATTTCCAGATGGACATTACCAATTTTTTGGAGTGGTATCAAAAGGGAGATGGAAGAACATGACTTGTATGAACCTTTAGCAGAACACTCATCTGGTAAGTTGATAAAGTAATTTATCAATATATAGATACACAAAATAATAAACCACAGAGTTTCAATCAATTTATTAGCTTTCAGAATCATCAAGGAATTAAAACATGTAAAACTTTTTGGACCAAGCAATATGCCAGTGTATGAGTTAGAGTTAAAAATATATATGATAACTAGGTAGTTAGTATGAAAACGAGTAGTAGTAGTAGGTACTACTACTACTCGTTTTCCGTCTATTAAATTAAATATTTAGACACAAAGGAGGAAAGTTTAGACACAGAAATCTAGAATACTTACCTACTTACTTAAATGCTTCACTGACTCTGAATTAATTTAAATGATCAGAATATAGGTAATAACAATAGTTCATTGTACATTTATAGCAAATTCAAATATTTTATCTAGTTTTTCATTAGTTATTCATTTAAATTTCAGTATAGTTAACTAGTAACTACTGAAAACCGATTCCTGTAATTGTACTAACATCTATATTTTTTATCGTAATTTATGGGTGCAGTAATTGGCTGATTAATTTACTATTCGTCAAGAATACGTATCTATCTACAATATCTATTTAATTTGTCTGCTAGGTACATAGATTCGGAAGCTATCGATATCTAACAACCGATCGTATAGACAACGAAACCTAAGCTTTATTAGAACTCCTGATATAGATTTGGTCTTCATGCAATTGCTTTTGATATTGCACCATATTACATAACGAAAACACATGCCATCCGAAACACATGAATGTCAATGCTAAACGAGTAGGCAACAATGCTAAAAAAACACGACGTTACCGTTAGATTCATAGCATAAAACAGGTTACAGGTTTAAGAATATAAAAAAAAAATTGTCTTTGCCTACCTATTCTATTTTCAAATAAAACTTGTAATAAAAAAGTATTAACAGAAAATAGGATGTGTTTAAACATTTGCAGCATGCGTAATTCGCACGTGACGAAGCTGACCCGGCGCATACCATTGAGTAATGTGAATATGTGAACGAACGACAGCCGATAGTACCCACCATGTAGCTTTGCTGCGATCGTTTCAAGACACGCGATACGTGTAGTGTAAAACCATTCATTGATGTAGCATCGATTCCTCCATGTTGAGACACGACATAACATTGTATTTCCGTGCCAAAGAGCAATAAAGACTATGACTTATCTTGGAATCATTTTCTATTAGCTTTTTGCAACCATTTTTGGTGGGAAAATATATTTTCCTGAGTTTCTACCTGCGTCTAATGAACTTTCTAGATTTTTAATCTACGATACAGACTACGGAATCTTTTTGTTGAAACAGTATTTAACAATAAACTCCTCTCTATTTAACTGAAAGTAAATAACTTCTAAAAAAAAACGACTACCTGTGGCTTTGCCCACTTCTCTTTCCGAAATAACGGGGATAATAATTATGTAAAATACGCTATTGTAATTCACACATTCGAATCATGAAAGTCATTAGTAATCCTAAAATCTTTAAAACCCCCCACCAATTAACAGTTTTTATTGATTTCGTCCCTAAAACTTTTCTGAAATAGTGAAGGTACCTAACAGATGTACATTATACCTGTAACTGTAAATGATTATTCTAAATACTGGAAAGACTAGAAAGACTGACCTTCAAAAACGTAACTGAATTGCTAAATAAATGTTAACTAACTCATTCGAAAGAACTAGTTCAACCACTCGTTTTTAATTTGCCTTTGACTAATAGTGTACCTCTACATATAGTTACCATTCTTAACGACTTCCATTGTTTGTCTTATGCAAATGAAGTGGTATGCGATATTCTTAATACAGATGTCATTCTAGGTAGTTCCAACGACCAGTTTTATCTACCTACCTACAGTTTAATGTGAGAAATGTACATCGCATGTATTTTTTTCAAGTAAATTCGTTTTGAATAAAGTCAAACTCAATATACAAAGCAAGACACAATTCTAGTCGGTGCTAACAACAAATGTAGAAGTCCCTCTTTGTCCTACCCAAGATTGTAAGTAATCCAAGACTCTATGGCTTAGATAAAAACCTTCTTGCTTCCTATAAATAGATAGCATGACTTGAATAATAAACTGTTCTTAGAATCCGAAGAGTCAAGTTCACACTAAGTTAAATATTTCAATGAACTTGAAATAAAAACGAGCCGTCGATTGGAGGCCAAGATAACGAGAGCATTGACATTATGCATTTGAATCAAAGTTCGACTTTAATAATGTAACAACAATGAGACGATACCTACATTATTTAAATAAGAATATCGTCAATTATAATTTTCGTAATAGTACTTTATAGATATTCAAGTACTTATGTATAAATTGTTTCATAAAATATTAAAAACTAATATTATAATAATGAACTTTGAACGTGTGACATAATAGTTACGTATTTATACATAGGTTTAATTAAATACATGATTTACCTGTCCCCACTGAAATAGACTTAAAATTAACGTTTCAAATTAAAACAATCTGAATGTGACTATTTGCGTACTTACTTACACGATATTTAGGTAGAACATGTACCTACATGTAAATGAGTTTTTAGTTTTCATATGGATTATCAATTATAAGTGTGGTAGAGCCATGCTTCGGCACTAATGGGCCGGCTTGCCCGGAGTGATACCACGGCCTCACAGAAAACCGACGTAAAACAACGCTTGCGTTGTGTTTCGTCGTGTAAGTGAGGATACCGGAGGCCTAATATCCCCCCCTCCCCTTCCCCAATCTTCCCAATACCTGAATCCAGCCAGCAGACCAGTAACGCACTTGTAACGCCTCTGGTGTTCCAGGGGTCCATGGGCGGCACCGATTGCTTACCATCAGATGATCCGTCTGCTCGTTTACCGGTTTACCAGATAAAAAACAATTTGGTTCTGTTGTCACACTTTAATCTTACGCAAACGAGTAGTAGGTAGTTAAAAACCAAATAAAGTCGCTACGATTCTAAGGAAATAAAGCTAAATATGACGCATGATTTACTAATGTACATTTAGCAAGAGGTAGCAATAATTATTAAGAATCGTATCTAGAATCAGTATCACTACAGACAGCGTTTTCTTTCAATTTTAAAATATCCATGCTATTTTATAAAAGGTAATAAATTTATTAGAATGTATGTGAGGAAGGTGTAATTTTATATACCACGTACTCCTATCAATCATGAAGGATTGTAAAAACTAAATTTTATATAATTTGTTACTAAACAAATGTACTGTCGACGATTATAAGGCGCAAATCAAACTCCACTGTGACTCAGGTCAATGAATAAAGAGCAAAGTCTACGGCCAATAGTACGTCTTTGATTTTATCCTATTGAGTAATATGCTCCAGCGGCTTGTGTAACTCGTGTTGCAATTTAAATGATGATACTTATCGAAGTGCGCGTGTAATGCAACAAGAAAACTTTGTCCTCAATCATTTATATGTTTGAGGTACATCTTTATAGCTTGTTGATTTTGGAAGGTAATCACACTATCGTACAAGGCCGGCTTACCTGGGAATCGAAATATTCCGAACGTTGAAATATTGGGATCCAAGGTCAAGAAACTGACCCTTTTGAGGTTTTATAATCACGGAATAAGTCACATATTTTTGTAAACTGCTATATGTAATCAAAGAAAGATACTGATGCGTTAGAATGCTAGTTTGGCCAGTTCAGGCATACGGTATGCATATAGAACCATCGTTTCTGGGCATATAAGTTACACAATTAGAACGTTTATAAATCCCAAGATTGCAGTTGCTATGACTCGATCTCGCTATGGCATCTAGCCTTGATTACTTCGCCAGAAAAACCACATTAACTTTGTATTTCTTTTGCCAGGACCTCTTGGAGATAAATTTGCGCGACTATGGGAAGAAGAAGTACAACGAGCCAGCGGGAAACGGAAACCCAGTCTGTTACGTGTTATATTAAGAGCATACGCCGCCAGGTGTATGCTGTACGGATTCGTTCTACTCGTCATGGAATGTGGAATAAGGTAAGCACAACTTCATTATAACTTGAGGTCTTTAAATGCAGTTATTTGGTTTAGTTAATAACTAACCTGAGGTTGTTGGTGCAAAAATATTCGTTTTTCGGACGTTGCGTATTGTATCTACGATTATATTACATACAGTATTGGTTTAATGTTTTATATTACTTGCATATTTGATCACCAGTTATCAGTATAAGCCATTTAAGGCTTACTGTTGTAGCCTTGGAAAGTAGGATCGATTTAAACGCGCGTCTGCCGATGACCTCGTGTATCTATTCTAGAAAATACACGGTTTTTGCAATCTCCTAACTTAATAACTTTAATAAAATCTTGTTAGGTTATGACGAAGAATACGTTAGTTCATTGCACATTTTAAGAAGAGTAAAAAGTACTATGTACAAAAATAAGATGTTGAAATAGGGTTCGAAAAAAGTTGCTATAAAGCTCATTTATTAAACTTCTTTATTTTCTCCAATAAAATTAACCTTGACTTCATGAAACAAGTAAAAAGTTAAACTATCTAATAATATTATAATTCATGTTAACGCCGATTCTCCGAACGCTTCCTATTCCGTCAATAATTTGTTCCGACTCCGACACGCAGTGAATAAGTGTAGTCAAGGACATAATGAAATTGTATAAAAATAAAATGACCGCGTAATATTTGCGTACTCTATAAATAGTACAATAATGTTGTATTGCAGAGTCGTAGTACTTGTGGGTTGTGGGTAATAGTACGCCAGTTAGCACGAAATATTGATTAGATAACACCCGCGATCAATATACAACGTTTTGTGGCCAAATTACTTACTTACTTGGCTTACTTGGCTTTGTGATCTGACCGACTGACATAAAGATTTCGTACGTACGTAACTATTTTGACAAAACCTTAATTTGCTGCATTATTTTCGCAATACATTACATAATGTAGTTGCCTACATAATAAGAAGGAATCTATTAACATACGACATAAATTGTATTCCACAATCACTACTCAGAAAGTAAGAACATGAAAGTTAAAACTCATATATGTACTTGGATCTGAGAACCTTTGACTTGCAGGCTTGCAACTAAAGTTAGTTGCGGTTTGTAGGCCTTACGACATACAATTATATTTATAGTATTAGGTACATCTATTACGGTTTGGTTAAAAAAGGTCATATCTGTCGTTTACCGTTTAAACCTCAAGCTGTGCTTATAAAACAGCTGTGTGACGCCTGTATTTGTGCGGCCCGCCGGACTGATAACACGATTCATTTAATTGTCAAGGTTTTAAGCGATATGCATATTATTGTAAGGCCGTTACTACCCGAACTTTCCTCAACTCGAATTTGAGGGATACCGGGAGCTCGAAGTCTTGAACACTACTTTGGCATGTTGACATTAATTTGCCAAAATCAGTCTTGCCCCGAATTTTTGAGGATTTCAAGTGATTATTTGAGAATAGTAACATTGGTTTTAGTTTTCAAATTAATAGGTAGTTATACATTTTGTATTGAGAATGAAGACTAAATAAAAAATTTAAATTGTTTTTTATTTTCAAAAAACACCTATCTAACAACACAATGTGTTTGCAAACTTATTTGATACGTTTGTTACCTAGTCATCTTAGACGCTAAACTATCTAATGACTACTTGACGTCCCGCAAAAATACCGCCATTACAAAATCCTGCTTTTCTAATTCTGTATCTTTATGGAAATTTCATTTACTCCGGAGAAGTTTGTCTGAGATGCACAATGGCTTCAGCCGTCAGGTTACCTGTCACCAGGTAGTAAGCATGGAGGCTTTGTACCATGGATGACAATGCTTCTACAAAGCTGCGGATTACAGGTACCTTATCATTGTGTGCGGTAACCGTCAAGGACGACCGGTCCATTATACGGTGCGGTTTTTGCAGACGGCAGTGACATCTGTAATTCTGTCCTGATTTTTGCTATAGCTATGACTTTAAAATCTTTCTCCAAAACATTACTCTATTTTTTTCCACCATGTCTCACTATTCTTGGTTACCTTGAAATCCAAACCTATGGTTATCCAGATTTTTCTACGATATGCCCAAGATTGAGGCATAATTGCATTTATAAAGAGTACTTCAGTAAGTATACTCGATCGAAAATGTGCTAATGAAGTACAACGTTTGTTAGTCCAATTCATGAAGTACTACTAAAAATTGCTGATTTAGTATTTGATTTGTTACTCAAAAATATTGATACTCATTGTGATAGTATCCATAAACGTGAGTCATAGAGTAAAGAAAAATTGCGTCTAGTCATGAAACTATAACTCGTCATAGTAGTACTAAATATCACGTGCGTGAACAATAACAATACATAATATTATGCACAATTATTGCAGAATTTGTTTATATTAAACGGTGATTAACATTATGAATCAACTGTTTTTGTGCAATAATTATAATTAGTAATGTTCTAAGATAAATAAGGTGAAAAGAGTGAGAGTGTGTTGACACTAAAACTATTTCGATATCTGGCTTTAGTAGACTTTATGATGTTTTGTTTAGGTGTTATTTTCTTATATACCCAAATTGGATCGTAGGGTTTTGGCTATAAAGGCAAAAGGCGAATGCAATGAATTTTCAATTTTCAAAAGTCTCAAAAGTAGGACCTGATGAAATAGTGTTGGAAACAAGTTTACATAATAAGAGTTTAAAGCGTAACTGGCAAAATTGATTATAAATTCCTATAATTATCGTTGAGTAACATTCCAATTTTATGAATATCGGAATATCGTAGGTATATCGGAATCGCCTATTAAAACTCGATTTAGAATCAAAACGACATGTCATTAAAACGATTCCCACTCAGAACTAATATTTGTACGACTACCCTACATCCAGGTGTTCCGACTCACTGCACACCGGAATAGGGAGTGCTCTGTCAATAACTATGTGATCTGATTTACCGATTTGTGTTTGCTAAACACTACCCCTGTATTAACTACCCGGAGAATTGAAAATAGAACTCATTTCCTTGCTAATGGAAAATTCTATCCATATCAAAGTCAAAGTCTATAAAAAATTAAAAGTGAAGCTATTTGCTCATTCCAAGGTGTAGATTCCTATGGAGAAGAACGAGCAAGAAACTCCATAGGTAACAACTCCATAGGTAATAACCCTTTTTCAATCAAGCTCACAATACAATTCTCTAGTTACATAGTTTTTTTTTGTCCAGGAATAAACGAAATCGAAAACGGTTGATATTTATTACCTTGCCCGGAGTTATTAAATCCTTTCTGGCGATGGTCGAAATGGTCAGGTACTTACTCAATAGATTGCTGCAACGGTTAACTTATTACTTGTGCTCATAATACTGTTATGAGTTGATAATAACTTTCACAGTAATATTTTCCCCTTCATCTCAAAAAAGGAGGAAAAATGAGGAATAAACCGATTTCTATTCTCAATTTCTTTCTCTTGAACCAAAAATTTACTTATTTATATCTATTATTTATGTATTTGATAACCAGCTATCGTTTCAACGTTAATTACATAAGTGGGATAATACTCAAATTGTGCCTATTTACTGTTTATAGCTTTTGCTTTGTCACAATGTACTGGTGTACTTAAATTACACATAACCAATACCAAATATGTAAGTTCGCCTGTTCGCGTCCACCCGTGAACTGGTGTTCACGGCCACGTTACGAAACGCTATTTAAACATTCCCGAAAATAAAAAATAAATGTACCACCATATTAGTAGTTAGTACACATCTGTTACACGTTTTCTGTATCTTACATTCACCAGGATCGCGAACGGGCCAATTTACCCTATGTCGGTATTTATTTGGGAAATAACTAGTAATCAGTTCGCACTCGAATTTTCCATTGTTCATTGATTTTCCTGGAAATAAAATGGAGATAATGTTACATTATTATAAATAGTTTACGGTTTTACCCACACGCTGAATGATGGGTTATTCCCAAATTTCCCAATGCACATTTATATTATGATAGTATGGATTACAGAAATCCTTTTATTCTCCTCAAAGCGGACTAGTTTGTTCAATAAATTATACTAGAACGTTGAGAATGTCAAATTAAGTCTCCAGAATCGATATTCCACTATTTTATAAATCCCTCAATAAATCGGCACTGTCCTGAAGTTTGATTTACGGCAAGTCACTCAAAAACATCGTGACATACTTTTTATTAATTTCTTTCAGTCATATGAATCGTCATGAACACGAGGTCATAAATTAACATGTTTGGTGCGTAACGTATAAAATGACTAGGGTATTTTATAGATGTACAAATTCATTGATCATATCCAGGCACGAGATTTTTAATTAAAAATAAATAGTCACTACTCCAATCCATCCGTTTAAGAATTAATGATAGATTTACATGCGTATAAGATACTTATCAAATGAACATTAGTTGTACTGTACATAATCTAACGCGAAGCCTCTGAGACTCGTTAGTAATAATTGCGCTTCTCTGCTTAAAAATTGACTCCCATCTGTAAACCAACCTCAGCAAGCCTTAAGGTACATTTTGCTCAAAATTAGCATGCTAATTTCAGGCATGTTGCGAATCGAAGGGCGTTTGATTTTTGAACATTTTTGAGCATGACTTTTAGCATACTATTTTATAGCATGTGTTACAGCCCCTTAACTGGAACTTATAATTACAATGTACAATTTAAATCATCGTGACTATTGTCGCGTTTTGAGTGATATTGACATTGACTATGTCATAGATTACTACCGTATTAGAAATACCCACTTATGTAGCGTCCAACTGTTATTTCAAGGTCCACTCTACAGTCTATGGTTACGTACTCGGTCGCCACGGTGACGTATAAAGTCAACAATCGTTGTGCTAAGTCATTCTTTCATTCTTCTTATTTTTTTATAAATTCACACTTGTCGAAGGTAATTTGGGAATACCTAAAAACGTAGGTGATATCGATTGAAGTTTTGACGAACGGAGTAATGATAAGTTTTTTTAATCTGCATGATACAACCTGGCTTTTTTATC